ACTATCAAGGTACCATTTCTTGCTCCTAGCTTGTGATGGTATATTTTTCTATAAAAAATGATGATTTTTAGGTATCCATTTGACCTTGGGTGCATCAAAAATCAATCTGCATAACTTATCATGTTGCATTGAGTCATTTGAGGTTCTTTTAGGAACTCAAATCAATTTATGTAGACTACAATTCTTGAATGGACAATGATAAACTACATGCCCAAATTTGTAACAAAAGTTACATTTATTTTGGGATGAAACATGTAAAGTAGGACCTTTAACAAAGGTGGTTGGATTTTGATGAGAGCTACTCACAAATCTGATTCTACATTTTCTATGAACGTGATCCTTGTTGGCAAGGATCATGTTCAAGGATTTGCTACCAACCTCAAATTTTTCTAAGGTTTCTTCGAGTGGCAAGTTTTCCTTTCTAAGTGTTTCTAGTTCATCACATTTCGTACATGTAGCTAAACAATCATTATGCTCAACTTTTAATCTATCGAAATCACTAACAAGAGAAACATACTCCTTTTTTTTAAATTTATATTTTTTACTAATTAATTTGTATTCATCAAATAAATCATGAAAAGTATTTAATAGTTTATCAAAGAATAAATTTGCATCAAATGAACTTGTTACCTCATTTCCAATGGCCATTAATGCATAGTGAGCAACTTGCTCGGTGATGGTAGGCTCCTCTTCTTCGGATGCACTTGAGTCGTCCCATGTTGTTTTAAGAACCTTCTTATTTAGTTACCTCTTCTTAGCTAGGGGACATTCGCTCTTGTAATGTCCCGGCTTCTTGCATTTGTAGCATATTACTTGATCTTTCTTGGGTTCAAATTTATTTTTAGTGTCATTTTAAAATTTGTTCATTTTTTATGAATTTTTTTAATTTCTATATTAAGAGTGCCAAGTCTTCATCAAGGTCCTCATCACTTGAGTTTTCTTTCAAGTGGTCTTCTTGGGTTTTTAGTGTCATATCCTTCTTGTTCTTTGGAAGGGTATCCTCAAGCTCTTCATGAGCTATACAAGTCATCTCATAGGTCATTAGTGATCTAATTAGTTCTTTATGAGGAAAATTATTTAGGTCTTTGGCCTCTTGAATGGTCGTGACTTTAGGGTACCAAATCTTTGGAAGGGATCTTAAAATTTTATTAACAAGTTCAAAATCCGAAAAATATTTACCAAGTCCTTTTAGACCATTGATGACATCCGTAAATCGGGTGTACATGTCTCTAATGGTCTCACTCGATTTCATTCGAAATAACTCTTAAGTATGCACTAAAAGATTAATTTTTGACTCCTTCACTCTACTAGTGCCTTCATGAGTCAATTCGAATATGTGTCAAATATCAAAAGCGGTTTCATAAATAGACACATAATTAAACTCATTTTTATCTAAAGCACAAAACAATGCATTCATAGCCTTTGCATTTAAAGTGAAAGTCTTTGACTTTTGAAACTCATTTTCTACAATATTCCATAATTCAAAATCCATTGAAATTAGGAAGATCCTCATTCTAGTCTTCCAATATATGTAATACATCCCATTGAACATAGGCGGACGTGTAATTGAATAACCCTCTAGGTTGCTAGTAAATATCATCTCTCTTGGGTTTAAAACCAAATAAGAGTGAACCTTGCTATGATACCAATTGTTAGGATCAAGAGCGGAACTAAGTGAGAGGGTGAATTAGTGCAGTAGAAAACTTTCCCAATTTCAAAGGTCTTTGTTTCGATTAAAATCGATTCCGACGAAAAATAGTTTTGATTCAATCCGTTTCGGAGAGAATTTGAACTTGAAAGCTTTCATAAAAGTACAAGAGAAGATTAATGAGATTTGCAGTAATGTAAATTGCACAAATGAAAAGCGTTGGTTTCGTAAAATCTTCATACGATTAAAATTGATCTCAGAAGGTATTTACTTGAAAGCCTCTACAAGTATAGGCGTAGTAAAAGCATAGTAAGAAGGAGAGTCAATTTGCTATAAAAGTAAATTGCTCAAAGTAAATGCAAATCAAGTTTTAAAGTGGTTTGGTCAATGTGACCTACATCCACTTTCGGATTCCTCCTCCGACGAGATTACCGGCATCCACTAAAGGCCTTCCTTCAATAGGCGAAGGCCAACCACTTTTTATAGCTCTTTCTCGTTTTGCCGGGTTTAGGAGATAACCCTTACAAGTCTCACTCCTCTTTCTTGGATGGTTATAAGGCTAAGAGATGAAGGAAGAGAATTCTTCTCACTTTTACAACACTTTAAGACTTAAGAACTTGAGATTATACCAATGCTTTTGTGCCCTTTCATGCAGAAAATTGTGTGGTTTTTATAGGCCCCAATGGCTTCAAAATTGGAGTCAAAATGTGTCTCATCCTGGATTTTCGGGATATTGGCGGTACCACCACCTGACACTGGGCGGTACCACCACTTGACACTGGGCGGTACCACTGCCTGACAGAGCTCGGAGACTGAGCTCTGGCGGTACCACCGCCTAACAAGGACAGTACCATTGTTGGTAGCATTAACTGCCAATTGTACCACCGCCTAGATAGCCTGGGGCATTGCTTTTCAAGCGGTGCCACCACCGACCAGGAATTCAAGGGCTGAATAGGCTGCTTAATTTGGTCCAATTCAGCCTTGTTAAGAGCTCAGTTGGCCTCTAATTAAGTTAGTGGGATTACCTCCCAATCTTAACTTAATTTACGATCTAACTATGATAATTAAGACTTAATCATAGCACTTCTTGTTTCGATGTGTCAATTGCTCTTCCAACGAACATCCGACGAACTCTTGGCAAAGCTTTGGCGGACTCCCGACAAGCTCCTAGACTTTATGATGATCTTCTTGATGAGTTCCGACAAGCTTCTGTGGCAAGCTCTTGGACTTCTCGATTGATTATGGCAAAACTTCCGACCAACGTCCGGACTTTCGACAAACTCTTGAACTCCCAACGAGATCTCGATCTTGACTTCGGCACAACACTTGCTTTATGTCTTACTGCTATCATAGTTAATCCTGCACACTTTTATCAACATATAGATTAGATCAAACAATTTATAATTGACTTCATCATCAAAATCCGAGATTCAACAGACACGAGATGAGGTGAACAATGTATGCTTGTGGCATTGTTGGCTAGGTCACATCCATGAGGAAAGGATTCAAAAGTTGCTAAAGGATAGATATCTAGATCTATTCAACTATGAGTCATATACAACTTGCGAGCCTTACCTTCATTGAAAAATGATCAACTCTCCATTTAGTGGAACTGGAGAAAGAGTCACTAAGCTGCTAGAACTCATACATAGTGATGTATGTGGACCCATGTCAACTCATGTCATTGATGGTTACTCCTACTTTATTTCTTTTACTGATGATTTCTCAAAGTATGGATATATGTATTTAATAAAGTATAAGACTGAGGCCTTTGAGAAATTCAGAGAGTATAAGAATGAAGTGGAGAACCATATTGAAAAGAGTATCAAGACTCTTCGATCAGTTCGAGGAGGTGAGTACTTAAGTATAGAGTTTACCCAATTCCTCAAGGACCATGGGATTCTATCTCAATGGATATCTCCTTATACACCTCAGCTCAATGGTGTATCTGAAAGGAGGAATCATATGCTGTTAAACATGGTACGGTCCATGATGAGTTTCGCTAACCTACCAATCTCATTCTAGGGATATGCCCTAGAGGCCGTAGCTTATCTTTTGAACAAAGTTCCAACTAAGTCGGTAGTGTCTATACCATATGAGATATGTAAAGGAAAGAAGTCCGATCTTAAGGTTGTTAAGATTTGGGACTGCCCTGCCTACATTAAAAGACACATTCTCGATAAGTTGGAATCGAGGATGGAGCGGTGCAAGTTCGTGGGATACCCCAAGGAAATTTTTGGGTATTATTTCTATTATCTCGAGGACTAAAAGGTGTTTATAGCCAAGAGAACGGTATTATTTGAGAAGAAACACATTCTTAGTAGAGACAGTGGGAGTATGATAGAGTTGAGCGAGGTTTGAGAACCTAACTCAAGCACCACTCTACACCCCGAGTCTGTTTTGGTACCTAACACACAAGTTCCAACTTTATATAGGTCCGACGGAGTATCTCATCCTCAGATATATGGAACATATTGAAGGAGAGGATGTTGAATGATTTTAAGAATATGTAACGATGGTGCAAAGTACCAACAAAAGGAAGTAGAGAAAAAAAAAAAACAAACAAAGAAAGAAAGATAGTAGCATAAAAACATCTAACCTGTGAATGGATATCAAGAAAACATCAACAAGTACGGCGCATAGATCCCCACATGGACATAAATTTTAATTCTAATGAAAAATATTTACTTTGATGGTTTATGGTCGAGATGGAGATCTCTCGGGACATTAAATAGTCTATGATTCTATTTGTTTTTGTTTAACTCTCTTATCATCTCAGAGGTGATTCATTGGACATGTTCAAGGTACAAGTTTTCAAGCATGTTCCCAGTACAAGTCTTTATGGTCATCCCGGATACATTTATAATAAACAGTACACGCTTGTGATAAAAAGTCTCAGAATAACTCGATCAAAGTTAAAAGTTATCGTGAATCGACGAGGATCACCCAGATTTCTCATCTCCTATTCAAAAAAGTATGCAAGTTAGATTAATTTTGATGCATTGAGAGTTTGATATGTTGGATTGACAATCAAAATGGATACTGATAAGAATATTTTCTATTATTCTTGAGAAATAACAAATAGTTCAGCTTTAGAATTCATCGGATCAATTCGGTTGTTGGACTGCTCCGAGTCTTGGACTCTCGGTTCAACCAAAGGTCCGAGCTCCACGACTCGAATCTCCGACCTTGCCATGTGATTTACCCACCGACGCCAGTTGTATAGCATACATCTTCTTCGGATCCCCATCACCTTCTCTTAAAGTTACCGGCATTCCACCGACGTTCAACGTTTTCAATATCTCACCCTTCACGGGCTCCAAAGGGCCTCCCTCTTCCACCGCGTGTGACGATAACCACGGCGACAGCTATAGAGGCACCCGTCCCTTTGCTCACTGAACTCACTCACACACTGCTGCTCGCTATCATCCCACCGCTCCTGTTATGGCGAAGCATTCGACGTACGCGGTCGCCGCCATCTTGGCCGTGGCGCTCATCCTCCCGGCCATCGCGCTTGCCGCGCGCGACGTCGCCGGCATCAAGCGGGGGTTCGTCGTCCAGGGCCGCGTCTTCTGCGACACTTGCCGCGCAGGGTTCGAGACGCCGGCGTCGACCTACATCAGAGGTGAGGGTTTCCCCGCACTGCGTTCTAGCCTATCGATCTGTCTCCTCTGTTGTATTTTAGGCCGTCGGATCTTGCCCTGGTCCGGATCCAGATGCATCTGCGCCCGTAGGATCGGGAGTCTGCGAGAGGCATCTGAACTTTGTGATATTGTTGCTTGTTTTTGGTAATCAGATCATGCTTGGTCTGATTACTGTTATTCTTTTGTTTGATCCGCTTGACAACGTGTAGTTCTTTTGATCTAAATGCGATTTTTAGGTAAAATGTGAATAAGTTTCATATTAGTACATAAAATGCCTAAAACAAAAGAAAAAGGAAAAAGGAAAAGAAATGCATTTTTCTTATTTGTCCCTTTTCTTGGGTGGAAGCAATACAAGTGTGTTAAACATAGGGAAGACCATGTAGTTTTAGAATCCAATTTCTACAACGTCGATGAAATTAAGTTATTTTAGTGTCCCTGATCCAATAGAAATCAAATAATAAAATATGTTAAGCTGAGCATTTAAAACTTTATTTAGAATGTTACATGTTGATCAACATGCAGGAAAGTCAACATTCTTGATGGTTGATTATTTATTTGGTCACTCTTGATGTTGCTGATCATATGTGTAATAGTATGGATTTTGTTTAAGATTATTGCATATTAACTTTGGGATGGGAACCAAATGTCACTCACTGGTGCCAAGATTGGCCACAGTGCTTGTCACAGATAGGAGTACTGATCGAATCTCTTGAAGGTCTATAACCACATATGACCTAAAATGTTTAAGCTTAAGCCTTATAAACCACTACGATGGTGCTTAAACTCTAGTTAATGATCAAAATGTTTATCTTGACATTCAAAACTTCCTTTAGTTTGTTACATGATGAACATTCAGGAAATGTCGACATATTCTTGATGGCTGAGTATTTGGTTAGTGTTGATGAACATGCAGGAAATGTCGATATATTCTCGATGGTTTAGTATTTTGGTTATTGTTGATGTTGCTAATGAATAATGATATGAAATTTATTTAAGATTTTTATACACTTGCTTTGGAGCTGGAAATGTTCCTCGTTTGTGCCAAGACTAGCCGTGGTCATTGATAGGAATAATGACCCGATAACTTGAAAGTTTATTTACCATATAGTAGTGTTGGATAGCCTTCTAAACTATCACAGTCAATCCTTTTACTCCTGATGTCAAACTAATTGGTTCTGCAGGTGCAAAGGTGAGCGTTGAGTGCCGATCGAGAATCACCGGTGCAAAGACATGCAGTTTCGACGGCACAACCGATCACACTGGCACCTACAACATCCTCATAGCAGACGAGCATGATGACCATGAGATCTGTGAATCTGTGCTCGTTAGCAGCCCAGAAAGTGGATGCAAGACTGTCCTCCGAGGTCGCGAGAGGGCTCGTGTGTTCCTCAGCCGCAACAATGGCATTGCATCAGACACCAGATTTGCAAACTCACTCGGTTTCACCAAGGACACTCCCCTGTCGATCTGCACCCAGCTGCTTAAGACGTATGAGCAATACGAAGTTTAATAGAAAATCTAGCTTACCTCTGTGCTACTTCGTTTGGTGCGCTAATGGTTCCTTAAGAATTTGAATTCTCATGGTACTCTATTGGATCTATGTGACATTCTGTATTAACCGTGTCACTGCTGGTGATTAATATCTGCTACAACTCTGCTGTATTGCCTTCTGATGGTTGATATGTTGCTTGATTATAGCAATCAGTACTTCAGTTCATCCATTGATTTAGTGTTTGAAGGTATTTCTGGAGGCAAATAGATAAACAAATCCTCACCCTGAAATAAAAGTTTTGACATGCCTCACAAACAGGATATTTTCTTCTTCTTTTTTTTTTTCCTTTTTTTAGTTGATAGATAATGAACAATAAAAACTTAAGTGAACTAAAGAGAGTCTTTTTTAAGTTGATGGATAATGAACATTAAAATCTTAAGTTTACTAGAGAGTCTAATAACAATGAAGATTTATGAATCATTGCTATTGATGGATACTGAACATTACCTCCTAATGTTGTTTTCAACAGCAGTCAAGTATGAGCTCCAAACTGTGGCCCATTAAATGCTTGCCATTCACATGCCTCAAGTAGAATCCTCCAAGCTCGCAAGACCATTAATCTAAACAAAAGACAAGGCAGCAGAACACAGAGGGGTCAGCAAATCTCTGTCCCGTTCTTTGTAACTTTGTTGTCTTCCTCTCCTCCTTTTACGACTTCACGTGACTCAAGGACGGAATCCTCGCTTTTTCCTGTCTTAATCTTCCCTCAGCGTTACCTCCTCCGTTTTCTCTCGGAAAGGAGTCTTCTTTGCTTCATTGCATCGGCGCACTTGGCTCTGTTCTTGTGGCGCCACCCAACTGCTCCCACTAAGGAGAAAAGAGAAGAGGTGTTGACGGATTATAGAAGGTTTCATGGGTAGAAAAGCTATCTTTTTGGTCCCCTTTTTTAGCTAAAGGACCCTGGATTTTGATGTGAGCTCCCGGTGTTTGAGGGAAGCGAGGGTTTTGGCAGAACAAGATTTTAGCTTGGCGGAGGGAAGTTGGGTTTGCGGGAAGAACTCGATCAGTTGTTGCAGTTCCAAGACTGTGTTGGTCATCTTGTGCGAGTCTTTTGGTTTCGGGCAGTCAAAAAGGTCAAGCCTGTCATTGCCATTTTCTTCTTGTTAAACTTCGTTCTTTGGGAAGTTTAATTGTTGTTAAACTTCGTTCGTTATAGGTTCTCTTTGTTCTTCTTTGAACTGAATTATTGGTTTTCCAATTGCCTAATTGATCAAAATAGAGCTGCTTTTTTGGCATTGGTGTCCAAGTAGACAAAGATCTTGGAGGGTTGGCTCAAGATTTGGTGTTGAGGTGCATCACGTTTGGATGTCCATGAAGAAACCTTCTTTTGTCATTCTGGAGATCTAGGAGCTGTATCTGTTGCTTGGAAGAATAAAAAAAAAAAGAAACCTTTTTTGAAGTGCATGATTACTGAGGACCTGTGATCATCTGTGAAAAGGTCATCATTTGATTTAGTTTGTGATTTGGAATTGAGGTGCAGCAGGCATGGATGTCCTTCAAGAGACCTCTTTTAGTCATCCTGAAGATTTAGGAACAGTATCTGTTTCTTGGAAAGAAACCTCTTTAAAGTGCATGATTACTGAAGGGTTGTGATCAAATTGCAGTAGAGAAGCAGTTGTTTCAGGAGCTTGATGGGTTCTTCAGGCTCCAAGCCTTCCAATGGGGATGCTTTGCTTCTATCGAGAGAGCGCGTAAAATGCATTAGGCAAGCTATTGATTCGAGATATGCTTTATCTGCAGCTCATCTCTCTTACATCCAATCTCTTTGTAGCATAGGAACTGCTTTAAGGCAGTTCGTGGAGGCTGCGCTCTTGATAGAGCCATCATATTCTACCTCCGAAGTTAACAAGTCCCCATCGCATTCTTTTTGTGTTACTCCATCGCCTTCCCAATTTGCCGAGCATGTCAGTTCACCATCACAAAGTGGGAGTCCATTGTCGTCGCCTCGACTGTCAAATATGAGTTACATGAGGGCAACAGGGGCTAGTGCTATGACTGTCACAATTGATTCATCAGCAACACATTTTGTCTCAGAAGATTCTCTTACTTCTTCCCTTCTGCCACCACCACCACTCCTGGAAATTGGATCATCATGGGACTACTTTGATCCCGCTAATGCAGTGGCTAACTGTGAATTGCATAAAGGTGAACCTAGTGGAAGCATAAATTTTTGCAGGAGACAGTTAAAGGAAGCAGAAGTGGTTCCTTTGAGCGAAGAGCAAGTGATGATATCATGCGAGGAGAAGCAATTAATAGGAAACAAGGTCTGTTTGGAGGGATTCGATGTGGAAGTTAAATCTATAATCTTGGCACATAAAATAGATAACATCAGATGTATGCATTCTGGGTCCCTTAGTGTTAAAGGATCAATTAAAACTATGATTAAAATTGCCTCATCTGATATTTCTGGATCAAATATAGAGAATAGTGATCTGCAGAGAGAGATATATGCTGAAAGGGAGGACACATCTGAGTTCATCACACACCGAGCAAAATGCTTCTTGTCCAGCATGAGGGACATCGAGCACCGATTTCTACGTGCAGCAGAAGCAGGCACTGAGATGTCTAGGATGCTGGAGACAGATAAGATCAGGCTTGGCATCTCTGCTGACAGAAGAGGTAGTTTAATAACATTATATATATGTATATATATATATATGTATATATATATATATATATATGTATATATATGTATACACACATATATATATATACACACATGCATGTATATATATATATATATATATATATATATATATATATATATA